CATTAAATATTTGAACTCTCAGCTGCAAGCCAAGCTATGAAATGTATCTGTAAGTGTTTTATATTAAAATAATTAGTGGTAAAAATGCTAATGTATGCATTAAAATGGTTATAGGCTGGCTTTTTGCCCTGCCTCAGGTTGATGATTAACTTGTCTTTTATAAATATACTCAACACTTCTTCTTTTCCTAATTGTATGACTTTTGCTAGGAATGAACAAGTTGTTTAAAATATTATGTTCTGTCAGTGTTACTTATTTAAGTCCAAGACTTGAGAATAGGAATGACTGTTCATACAACTGTGGGCTGCAGGATTGTTTCCTGTGTCTTAATTGAAATAACAAGTCATAGCAATAGTCCTTGTTCTGTTTTTACTCAAAGCCAGAATATTGCCAAAACCAACCAAGTATTACGTTGTTAACCACTGGTGATACATGTGCTACTGGGATGATTATCATCAAGCAAAACAAGTAAGGTTTCAGTTTAGCATGGGGAAAACTGGGGTAGACAGACATATCCATGCTGTACAAGTGCAACTCTTTTGCACAATTGATTTCAGAAGCAAGGTTTTTTTTGGTAATATCTTATTGAATCAGTTGTGTAGTCTGGAGAGATGTTAGACAAGCCTTTGGGCACAAAGTGTCCTTCAGCTGTGGGAAAGAAGACCTGAGGGTGGGCATTTTGTGCCTGAAAGCTTGCCTAACAGCTCTTCCAGCTTTACAGTTGGCCCAGTAAAGCAGGTGGTCAGCCTGTAGCATGAATGTCACAAGTGGCATGGGCAGTGTTTGCGTGTAGCATGTGGTGGATCGGGGTGGCGGGGAGGAAGACATTCAGCATGGTGGTAGATGGAGCAGAAAGCACAGCAGCAGGTCAGGTAGGGAATACAAGGCAAGGAAGCAGAAAACTGGCAGGAAAAGGGGCTCAGTGGCAATTGTGGAAGGTGGAGGGCTAATTGGTGGTATGCCTATCGAAAAAAAGGTTGGCATTAAGACATCACCGAAGTACAACCCTTGCTTCTCTCATTTCCTGGCCCGTCATGGCTACAACACTGGCCCTGCTACAACTGATCTTGAGTCAGAATCAAGTTAACTGGTATCTATTGTTGAAGGTACCACTGGAAACTTGCTTGACACCTTCCAAACAAAGTGGAATTGCTGTGCCACAAAGAATCTGCTGTTCAAAATAGTTCTTTTCTACTCAGGACAGCTTTGAACAGTCCAGATTTATGTTTTTTGAGGAAAAACTGTTGCCAGGGTAAGAGAAAAATGGATTTGGTACTTGCCATAGATTCTGTAGTTGGAACGTGGTAGCTCCTGTGTTTCAAGGAAATAGGTCAAATTGAACTAAAATGGTAATTTAAAGCATTAATGCATATACACTAGGGCTGTGCAAAGCTTTGGTCCTTGATTCGATTCGGTGGAGATTCAGCCCAATTCGGTGGCTGAATCTGAATCAAATCAGAGGACCTTTTAATCTCTCCGAATTGAATTGGAACTCTCCGATTCAATTTGGAAAGATCTGGTGATTTGGACATAGAGACAGCTTGAAATGTTTTTTCTACATACCTCTAGGTGGCGGGGGCTCATGAACGCTGTGATGCTGGGGCGCATGGAACATCCCATAGAAGCATGGGGCTCTCCAGTGTACTCCCTGGCAGACCCGGATGTTGACCAGAAATACTTCTGGTCCACTTCCAGTTTTGCCGCCAAGCATGTGGCCCCTGCTGTATTCCTGTGGGACTCTCCATCCTCCCCACATTGCAGCTATGAGCTGTTCCTGCTACCTCAAGTTACGTAGAACAAACTTTTAAAGTTGTGTCTGTCCAAATCGCTGATTCTCTGAATCAGCATTGAATCTTCAGATTCAGCCAAATCGAATCAGGGACAGTGATCCAAATCAACAAAGAAATCATGGTGGGAAGTGTGATAGCTTCTGACTGCTAGTGGCCTTAAAATACAACTTTTTCTCCTAATATTCTCCCTGCTCTTCCAATATCAGGTTCCTTGGCAAGGTCTATTCTCATTCTCTTGCTTTTTGTATGGCTGTGGAAGAGTAACACCAGTGGAGATGTGCTTTCCCAGGTGCATTACTGGCTGGCAAAAAGCTGGTGTAATTGTTTTATTCCTGCCCTCCATCCCCTGTTGCTGTAATGCTCTTGCTCTAGCTGGGTGGACATTCTCCAGATGGATACTGCCAGCAGAGTGCATCTGAGCCTGTAGGTTCATCATGTGAGTAGTTTTTGGTTGCCCTAAGAATAGAGGGCTTAAAACCACCTTTCATGTGCAAGTGCTGTGCGAAGGGAAGCAACAAAATTCTCATCTCTGCATAGATCTAGGCCTTTGCTTTGTTATTAGGTAGGGGTGTGATTCCCCTTCCCCCCCCCCCAAGTTTGTATGCAACTTGTCACTGATTGTGTCTTTGTCAACATAGTTTATGTCCATCAGAGAGATCATTTTAACTATTGATAATACCAAACAACTTCATGGTATAAAAGGTGTGTCCACCAGGAGGCTCTGCCCAGTAAAACCTTTGCTGTGTAGTGGACCAACTTCAGTTTGTTTCCCAGTTCAACTAATTACTTTCGCCCCAGCTCTCTCTAACTGCTTGTACAAGCTCCAAATATGATGGTGTGTCCTGGATAGAGTGACTTTTTTCAGAATAGAACCACTCTACAGTGTTAAATGAAGGCAAATACATGTATATTTATTTGTTAAGCAGCACAATAAAAGGTTGGAATTAAAACCTGACTGGTGAGTACTTCCATATTTGTATGGCAAAAAGCTTTTGCAGTTACTTCACTCTACAGTAGGGAAAGCACTTCACTGAATTGTGTTGATATTATGTTTTTACATAACGATATGGTTTTCTTTAAATTGTATCATAAAGTTAGTAAGAAACGTTGTATTGTGTACCTGCAGAGCTGCCAAGTATAAATGTTCACTAGTTAAGCACTCATTTTAAGTCTGGTCAGTATTAAAGAGTTAAAAAGTCACTTCAGGTGTTACGCAGAATTTAAAACAGCTGTACAAATCACCAGAGTAAAAGCAGGTGGAGTTTTTTTTTCTTCTAACCTCACCCTTGGAATGATACTGAACGCTTAGCTGAAACCTACAGGAAATGCATGCCCTTTTTTCCAGTAACCAGCAAAGGTGTCAGCCTGAATTATTTAATTGTGATAAAATTAAAAGTGGCAGGCCATTTTTTTTTGGTTTTTACCATAATTTTCCTGCCCAGTAGCTGTTGAAGGACTTGCCTAAATGAAGGTAACTGATTGAACACTAGTTGAGGAAAAGTGATGCTAGCTGTACCCATAATGCTGTCAAAAGTCAGAGTAAATGGGAGGGGGGATTTCCACTTTTTTGTTGGAGGTCTGTAGAAACAAGTAAAATGTTAAAACATAATAGCCTCTTCATTGTTACTGCTTGTTTATTCTCTGCTGTAAATTTGGAGAACTACCCCCTTGAAAGTGGTGTAAAATTTAGTGACTTGGCTTATGTGTACAGCAGAAAGTACCGTATGGGGACTACCAAAAAAGGTTGCTTCAAAATTGGGAAAAACTGGCAGATCTTCAGAAGCTTAATAAATAATAAACATTTAAGGGTTTGCTTAATATTTGAGGTTTGCTTAATGCAGGTTTTGCTGTAGTTCCAAGTGC